GCAGGAATGGTTGTTTCCAGTCAACTCATGGTTCCCAGCACTGCAGGACCTTGTGTCCCCAATGCGTTGATGGCCAAGGTTGACCATAGTTCAAGAACAGATTGGACAACACAGACTTTATATACAGTCTTGATTTCTGATTGTAGAGATTTTATAAACTTTTCTCATTTTGTCTGAACTAGGGGAGGGTGTTCTGATAAGTGTATACAGAGGTCAAATTTTTTCCTTTTGCCTCAGGCTGCAAATGTGGCTTGCCACTGCCCAGGTTTGTCAGATTCCAGATCCTGGGTTGAAAGTCTACTTCTGCCTACACCTGGGCCTCTGAATCCTGGCTGCACATTCAAATCACCTGAGGAACCATTGCAACATCCCCATGCCTGGGACCCATCCCCAGAGTCCCTTCAGTTTGTCTGTGTGGTTCCGAATGGGGCTTGGCATTGGGTTTGTTGCCAAACCCTCCAGTTCATTCTAATGTGTGGCCAAGGTTGACAGTGATCTTGCCACTCTGCACTGCCTCTCTTGAAGGATGACAGAAATCCAGCACACAAAATGAAACTCTCTCTGAGCCTTCTGTAAGGTGAGGTCAGCCGGAAAACACATCCTCTTTCAGACTGGAGCAAGAATCACAGAATTTTAGATCTAGATGGTGCCTTAGGAATCATAGATTGTTGTGCTAAAATGACCTCTAATTAGATTGCCAATTTTACTAATGAGAAAACAGAGGCTCAAATATCGTATGATCTCATTTATATGTGGAGTCTAAAAGAAACCCCAAAACTTGAGTTCACAGATACAGAGAACAGATTAGTGATTGCCAGAGATGGGGGTTAGGGGTGGGCAAAATGGATGAAGGTGGTCAAAACGTACAAACTTTCAGTTACAAAATAAATAAGGCGTGACGATGTAATGTACAGCAGGGTGACTATAGTTAATGATGCTGCACTGTATCTTTGAAAGCTTCTGAGGAAGTAAATCTTAAAAGTTCTCATCACAAGAAACAAAAATTGTAACTATGTGTGGTGAGGAATGTTAATTAGACTTACTGTGGTGATCATTTTGCACTACAAACAAATATCAAATCATTATGTTGTACACCTGAAATTAATATGTATAATGTTATATGTCAATTATACATCAGTTTTAAAAAAAAGAAAACAGTGGCTCAGAAAGGTGACCGGACTTGCAAGTGAGGGGCAGAGAGACAGGAGCAAAGGGCTTCAGGAACTTAGCCCAAGCTCTTTTCAAGGCCACCATCAGAGAAAAAGCACTTCCCACTCTCACCAAAAAGAAATTAAGGCAGCCCCCAAAGTCAGTACCTTTCCCCCAAGTCATAAGATTTATAGTAAAACTTGTCTATTTAATTCAGCATCTTGAAACATTTTTCAGAATAAATGTGATTAATCTGAACCCCAGTTCATAAAGGGACAGCATGCATTGTTACACTTCCCACTCTCACCAAAAAGAAATTAAGGCAGCCCCCAAAGTCAGTACCTTTCCCCCAAGTCATAAGATTTATAGTAAAACTTGTCTATTTAATTCAGCATCTTGGAACATTTTTCAGAATAAATGTGATTAATCTGAACCCCAGTTCATAAAGGGACAGCATGCATTGTTTGATCCACACAATGTTTTCTACTCAATATTCTGTACTAACCTATATGGGAAAAGAATCTGAAAAAGAATGGATATATGTATACCTATAACTGAATCACTTTGCTGTACACCTGAAACTAACACAACATTGTAAATCAACAATACTCCAATATCAAATAAAACTTAAATAAAAATAAAAAGTTGACCCATCAGTTAAACATGGAGAGGCGTCACCTAAAATTTTAGATAATGTGTTTCCTGTGAAGGCTTGGAATACTTGGCACTCAGACCTGCATTCCTGACCCTAACAGTTGGCCGGGGCTGAATCACCGCTGCCCCTTGAAGAAGCCTCCACCACTTCCTGCTGCATTCAGGACTCTAGGCTGGCTAAATGTCTCTGCAAAATGTAAAACGAAAGCGGACATCACTGAAGTGCCAGAATCCTCCACCCCGTCTGTTTCAGGCCTTTGCATTAACTCGTTGGCCCGGTACTATTTGAGTTTGCAGCCCATGATCATGTTGTCACACGCCCATCATCATTCCCCATACATTGGGACAGAAAGAGCGATTCCTGGGCTCCCTTCTGACTGCAAGAGCTGGGCAGGCTGGGTGGCGAGGAGGTTTTCCGTAGCGGAGACCTGAGCAGAGTCCTCTGGAGAGCCCAGGGGGGCTGGATCCTCCATTCTTGGGCTTCGCTGCTCTCAATCACCTCAATACCACAGACTATCAGATATTTTCATTAGAAATCTCTGCTCTACGTGGTCAAGGTTTTTCTTCCTGCTGGTTTGTTTTCTCCCATCCCCGGGATGCCCTCCCTCTTTTCATCTTAAGTCCATTCGCCCTTCCAGGTTCAGTTTCCGGGATTACTCATCCATGGTGTTCTCTCCCTTCTCAGAAACTCCTCCTATGGCCTCATGTCAATACAGAAACCATACGCTCTTTTGATTTCCCCAAGCCAGAGGATAAGCTCCTTAAGTTTGCCTGCTTGTAATTCCTTTGAATCCTCCCTAACACCCTGGACGGCGCTGGACAAACAGGATCTTCCCAACAAACCCTGTGCTTTCAAACTCAGGATCCCCTCGGCCTCCCTCCGCCCACTGGAGCAGGCGATGCAGCTCCCGCTTTCAGGCACTAGAGGTCCCTCGGCTACACACATCTCGCCCGGCCCAGGTTCCCTGCCGCACACATTACCAGCGCCTGTGGAAGTAGGGCAGGCTCATTTATTTCCTCTCCAACACAGCCTCGGGCCATCAGAGCCTCTGATGTCAGGGTCCCTGCCGTGCAAGCTGCAGAATGAAAACACTGCGAATAAGAAAGGTCACTGCATCCGCTCTGCACATTTACTTCTCACCTGAAATCTCTGCTTCACTAGCGACGTCCCGGCTCAGGCTCTGAATATTTTTCCTGACTCGGTGTTCCAGCAGGAGAGAGAAGAAATCTGTGACTACTGCGCATATGTGCATATATGTACTTACAGATTATTGCGTCAGGGCCGTGGTACCGCGTTGTGTCAAAGGTAGGTTTCCACGCGCCTTCCTCTCCGCCAATTCCCAGGAAGGTTCTGACCAGGGCACTGATGTTCCGACTCTGTTTTGCTCTGGTTGCTGTTGTCCTCTACGAATAACAAGAATGACCTTTTAAAACAGGCCCTATCAGATTGCTCAGCCTTGAAGTGAAGACAGCAGTCAGGATTTATATGAGAAATTTGATGAACCCAAAGCAACAACATAAAGGAAAAACAGTAGGTCTGAAAATGGGACAGATGCCACAGGGGAGGGGAGGGGCAAAAGTGTGGGTGCCTATCGTAACACTGATCACGCATGCCCAAGTGCCCAGCACGGTGTCACCTTGGCATTGCAGACCATGGTTCTGACACTGTTGGAGTCACTGTTTGATTGTAAAGCTTGGCAAGTAATATGTTCATCACAGAGATTCAAATGGATGTCCAGACACTGGGAAGAAAGCTTGGAATAGGGAAGACCTGGATCCCAAAGCCCTAAGAACAAGCTTTTTGGGCTGGGATAGCATATTTCAAGGCCACCTCATTGGTAGCTTCTAAATAGCGTTCATACCTACTGGCAAACTTTAAAGGAAAGACCAATTTATGTGTCTATTTCATCCATCAAAAGGATGTGCTTATTAGTAGTATAGCATTTCTGAAGCTAGAGTTCCTAAGTGGGAATCACTTAAGTTAAGTCATGACTTAAACTCTCTCCCTCAGTCAACTCGTCTGTAAAATGGGACTAATAATAATACCTACCTCACTGGGTTACTAAGAGGACTAAATGAGTTAATATATGTAAAATGCTTATAATAGTGTCTGGCACATGGTAAGCATATATGTAAATATAAGCTTAAAAAATTATCTGTTTTGCATGGAGCACACAATAAAGCCCTCTTTTCCATGCTTAGCTGTGTCTGGAATGAAGAATGCCAAAACATTTTTCCAATTTCATACCTAAGTGGTGATGATGTCATTTTCAGTTCAACAATCTCTCCTTTCCTTTCCAGTCAAGTTTATAATTATCTTAAAGGTACTTATTTTCTTTCCATTCCCCCTCCCTTTAAAGTTCTAAACAACATAGATAAGAGCAAAACCAAGAACCAATCTTTTCGGTTCTTCGAAAAGATCGACAAAATTGGCAAACTTTTAGCTAGATTGACTAAGAGAAAAAAGAGAGAGTACTCAAATAACTAAAATCAGAAATGAAAGAGAGGTCATGACTACCAATTTTGCAGAAGTAAAAAGAATTGTAAGAGAGTACTGTGGCCAATTGTAGTCCAAGAAATTGAATAACCTGGATGAAATGGACAAATTCCTAGAAACACAACCTATCAAGACTCAATCATGAAGAAATAGAAAATCTGAACAGACCTATAACTAGTAAGGAGATTTAATCAGTAATAAAAAGCCTCCCAGTAAAGAAAAGCCCAGACCAGATGGCTTCTCTGGCAAATTCTGCCAAACATTTAAAGAAGAATGACATCAAGCCTCCTCAGACTCTTCTAAAAATTGAAGAGGAGGGAACACTCCCAAGCTCATTTTAGGAGGACAAGCATCACCCTAATACTAGAGCCAGACAAAGACACTACAAGAAAAGAATACCACAGACCCTGATGAATATTGATGAAAAAATTCTTAACAAGATACTATGAAACAGAATTCAACAGCAGACTTATACTGTTAAGAAGTCAATACCACCCCAAGTGGTCTACAGTTTCAATGCAATTCCTATCGAAATCCCAATGACTTTTCTGTTGTTGTTGCAGAAATAGAAAAATCCATTCTAAAATACGAATGTAATCTCAAGGGACCCTGAATAGCCAAAACAATCTTGAAAAAGGACCGTGTTGGAGATCTCACACTTCCTGATTCCAAAATGACTACAAAGTCACAGTAATCAAAACAGTGTTGTACTGCCATAAAGAGAGACATATAGACCAATGAAATAGAATAGAAAGCCCAGAATAAACTCTCAAATACATGGACAAATGTTTTTTGTAAATGTCAAGACCATTCACTGGCGAAAGGACAGTCTATTTCAAAAAATGGTGCTGGGAAAACTGGATATCTACATGCTAAAGAATGAAGTTGGATCCTTCTCTTACATTATATGCCAAAATTAATTCAAAATAGATCAAAGATCTAAACACAAGAGCAAAAACTATAAAGCTCTTAGAAGATAATATAGGGGGAAAACATTATGACATTGGATTTAGCAATGATTTATCAGATATGACACCAAAAGCTCAGGCAACAAAAGAAAAAAAAAGAGATAAATTGGACTACACCAAAAAAAAATTTTTTTAACTCCAGTAGGTATGCTTTCTCCTTCCTTTGAAATCATAAAACACTTTTCTTCTACAATTGATACATCATATATCACATACTGCCTTGCATTGCAGTTACAGTTCTCGTATGGTGGGTACAAATTTCATAACCATAAAAACTCCAGTGTACAGACATGAAACTTTCTTTAATTCTATTTTTTAAAATTTTTTAACATCTTTATTGGAGTATAATTGCTTTACAATAGTGTGTTAGTTTCTGCTTTATAACAAAGTGAATCAGCTACACATATACATAGATCCCCATATCTCCTCCCTCTTGCGTCTCCCTCCCACCCTCCCTATCCCACCCCTCTAGGTGGTCACAAAGCACCGAGCTGATCTCACTGACTACACCAAAATTTAAAACTCTGTGCATCAAAGGATATAATCCACTGAATGAAAAGGAAATCCACAGGATGAGAGAAAATATTTGCAAACCATATATTGGGTAAGGGTTTAGTATCTGTAATACAAAAAGAACTCCTACAACAACAAACCTGATTTTAAAATGGGCAGAAGACTTGAACAGACATTACTCTAAAGAAGATATACAAGTGGCCAAAAAGCATGTGAGTAGGTGTTCAACATCACTAATCATCAGGGAAATGTAAATCAAAACTATAATGAGATACCACCTCACATCCATTAGGGTGGCTACTATAAGAAACAGAACACAACTGAAAATAACAAGTGTTGGCAAGAATGTGGAGAAATTGGAACCCTGGTGCACTGTTGGTGGGGATGTAAAATGATGCAGCTTCTATGGAAAACAGTATGGCTGTTCCTCAAAAAATCAAAAGTAGAATCATCATATGATCCAGCAATTATGTTTCTGGATATATATATACCCAAAAGAATTGAAAGCAGGGTTTCAAAGAGATATTTGCACACTCATGTTCATAACAGCATTATTCATAATAGCCAAAAGGTGGGAGCAACCCACGTATCCATAGAAAGATGAATGGATAAACAAAATGTGGTCTATACATACATTGGAACATTATTCAGCCTTTAAAATGAAGGAAATTCTGACAGATGCTACAACATGGATGATCCTTGAGAACATTGTGCTAAGTGAACGAAACCAGTCACAAAAAGACAAATACTGTATGATTCTAGTTATATAAGGTACCTAGAGTAGTCAAATTCATAGAGAAAGAAAGTAGAATGGTGGTTGCCAGGGGTTGGAGGGAGGGAAGAACAGGAAGCTGTTGTTTCATGGATACAGAGTTTCCATTTTGCAAAATGAAAAGAGTTCTGCAGGTGAATGGTGGTGATGACTGCACAACACTGTGAATGTACTTAATGCCATTAAATGGAACACTTAAAAATGGTTAAGATGGTAAATTTTATGTTATATGTATTTTGCCACAATGAAATAACCTGGATAAGGACATATTCAACTCTTCATTCAACAACTATTTCCTGAGGGCCTGCAATGTGCCGAGCCCTGTTGCAGGTGCTGAGATGCAGCAGTGAGACAAATACATGGTCCTGCCCTAATGAGAGTTCTAGTACTCTAGTGGGCGGGGGGGGGGGGGGGGG